GTAAGCTAGTTATTTACATAGTTCTAGAGAATAGAAAATAGGAATATATTTTCAGCTAGTTCTACAAGTCTGGCATTATTCTGATACTAAAGTCCTGAGCAAAAAACTACAAGTCAGTCATTCCCAATAGAGAAATTCTAAATAAATATTAGCAAATCAGATCCAACAATGTATTTTTTTTAAAGTGCTGTATTGTAACCTAGTAAGGCTTATTCCAAAAATATAAGTATGGTTCAGCCTCAGGAAATATGTTCCTGCATTCCAGAAATAATTGATGAAACCAGAAATTCAGTCCTATCAACAATATTTAATGAATGCACTATTCAATCCAGATTTTTTTTAAAAATTAGCAAATTATAAATACAAAGGAAATTTCTCTATTTGGTAAAAAATAGCATCTACTAAAACCTGTAGCAAACCACAGTTAATGGTGCCACCTTAGAAACATCCTCATTAGACACAGCAGGAAGGCAATACATGCTGAGCTTGCTGTGATTCAGTACTTTAACTGGTATCCTAGGCAATTAATAAACAAGTAGAGGAAAAGACAACACTGTCATTATTTGCAAATGATTTGAATGTTGCCATGGAAAATCCAAGAAAATTAGAAAAAATTATGAGAACTCATAAAAATAATATGACATATACAAAATCAACTTGGAGTAAAAATGGAGCAGCAGGCCAGTTGTGGTAGCTCATGCCTGTAATCCCAGCACTTTGGGAGGCCACAGTGGGAAGATTGTCTGAGGCCAGGAGTTTGAGACCAGCCTGAGCGAGAGTAAGACCCCATCTCTCCAAAAAAAAAAAAAAAAAAATTAGCCAAGCATGGTAGCATGTGTCTGTAGTTCCAGCTACTCAGGAGGCTGAGGCAGGAGGATCTCTTGAACCCAGGAGTGCGAGGCTACAGTGAGCTATCATAGTGCCACTGCACTCCAGCTTGGATGACAGAGCAAGACTCTGTCTCTTAAAAATAAATGAATAAATAAATAAATTTCAAGCTTAAAATATTAAAAATAAATAGAGCAACAACCCTCTCTTACAGTTGCTACAAGTACTAGAAAATGCCTATCGGGAAGGAAGGCTGGAATAATTGGAAAAACATGCTCCATCTCTATTAACAATGCAGTGGCTACAGATTATGCTGATTTTGATGTATCAATAAATATGCTCCATTTAATTTGGCAAGGACTTGTGCATTTTGTTCTTCATGGCTTCCTTTGGAAGCAGAAAAAGATAAGCAATGTTTTTTTCTCATTTTACCAGTAAGGAGACTGAGGCTTCAAGTGGCTTTTGTGACATAGTATGCCCATGTATAATTCATGACTAAAGCCTGTTTGGCACTAACTCTTGGCCTAATGGCTTTTATACTGGCCCATTTTGTCTGCTTTTCAGGCCAGACTGTGTGCATTTCTTTGAAAATCAAACTGTGAATGAAGTATCCATTTGAGCGTAATTCTTTCTTCTGTGGTGATTTTAATTTGTAGTCATAAAAATTCCTACAGATCATTTTTTATTTAAAATTATTTTGGTGAAAAATAAGGGAAAATATATTTCCTCGATTTTAACGGCTGATCGTTGTAATTTCCCAGTGAATGGTGAGGATAGAACTAGCGTTATTTCTGTAGTTCTGTAGTCTTGTACTTCTGCCTGCTCTTGGGATAATGTCGTTAAGCTCCATAAGACAGTCTCAGGCAGCACTTTCCAGACCCTTGGAGTCCGTGGGGAGAATCTCTCCTTGTCCCTCCCAGCCTCTGGTGGCTGCCAGCACTCCTTGGTTTGTGGCAGCGTCACTCCAGTCTCTGCCTCCATGGTGACAGTGCCTCCGCCTCTTCTGTGTGTGTCAAGGCTATGGATGCGCGTGGTTGCAGGTAGGACCCACCTGGAAGATCCAGGCTACTCTCTCTTCATTGCAAGGTCCTTAACGCAGTCACACCTGGGTACCCACTCTCTGCAGGAAGCGATCTTTAGAGGCAATCAGAGCAGAATGTTGAATACTAGTCAGTTGTTACTTTGTTGATCTTGATCAGATTCCTTGACCTCTTTGACCTTTCTTCATCTGAAAATGGAATGCATACATGCCTATCTCAGAGAGTGTTTGCAAGGGCGCAGAGAAATGATGTCGATTCAAATGTTATTCCTTGATTTCTCTTTCCTTTACTTGCATTCAGAGCTTTGTTTTGACTCATGTTAGTATCTGCGGAGGCTGGCACGATCCCGGGCACAGAGTGGTTGCCCAGTAAATGTTTACTGAGGTATTTCGTGTCCCCTGAAGAACAGGGTGGCCTTGCACTGTCATGCACTGAGCCCACAGCTGGGGCACTTGGTAGTGATGGCCCATCCGGAAATCTGTGTGTGAGAGCTGGGTGTCATTAACTTAGCAAAGTGGGGAGATGTGTGCAAAGCAGAACCCCCAGTGCTGTGGTTTCTGTGTAGATGCGCTACACGGAGTGCATGTATGATGCAGGAAGAGAGCCGTCAGTCCAGAAAGGGAAAAATTAGAGATGGGGTGCGATGAGTGTCCAGATGTCTGCACACACACATGTGCACACACACGTGCACACACACGTGCACACACACATGTGCACACACACGTGCACACACTCACACTTCACGGGAGACTGATTTGTCTACCTTGCCGGCATGTGGTATCTGGGCAATGTCACAGCCAGTGTAAGTGTCTGCCTGAGAGTGTGGCCCGGTTCGCATCCCTGCGGGGTTCCCTCCGACCGGATGTCCCCTGAGACTGGGCATTAGTGGTGCAGGGACTTGTGTCTTCTGTGGCTGCTCGCTCAGCATTCGTGGCTGGCGATGACACTCTGAACGCTGGAGTTCAGCCTTCCTGACAACAGAGGAGAGTGTTTGTTACTTTGGGGGCAGGGACAGTTATTGATCCAGCCTTGGCCTTGGGTCATGAGTCATTTGGCTTACAGTGTTCCTGAGTCACCGGTTGTCCTGAAGATCACCTGCTGACTCATCAGTGCCTTTGTGTCCCCAAGGCCTCCTGCAGTGATGCCGAGAAGGGCAGGAGCCCTGGGCTTCCGTGGGGGTTGTCTTCCACCTGCTGGAGGCTGCTCCAGGGCCCCTCTGGCCCCGCCTGGCTGGCTGTTGGGAGCAGCAGGAGGTACACAGGGAAGTCCAGGAGGGAGGGACAAGGGAGAAGCCACATCCCAGCAAGTGTGGGGTGGCAAGAGCAGCTCTAGCAGCAGATGGAACAAACAAGGAATGCTCTGAGCCTCCCTGCACCATTGAGAACAGGCTGTGTCAGGTCCTGCGGCGGGCATTTAAGGCCTTTACTTATTAATAACACATGACATTTAATGCCTATCTAGGATTAAACTAACCCTGTTAATCCCAGCGATGCTTTTTGGCTGTTCCTATCAGGTACTTGTGGCATCGTGTTAACAGGCAGACGTTGAAAGAGATCTTCAGTGGAGTGAAAAACTAAACGTATTTAACTAGGAAGGAGTAAGGAGAACAGACATGCAAGAGTATTTGGGGTTCTAGACAGTTTTGGAGTTAGGTGAATGCAGATGTTGGAAATGGAATCTGGATCCTTAGAGAATTTCCAAAGTGTCGGGAGAGGAGATCTGATGACCAGAGCAAAGGAGAACAGCATCCCCGGGTATAGAAGCAAACTGTCAGCCGCATGGTGGAGAGTGAGCGGGTCATACAGGGAGGGGTCACTGTGGACGGCCGATGGGGTGGCTTCATGCATTCCTTCAGTGCAGACTGAGAGTATTTCTGGACCAGGGTCGGGTTCACACAGGAGGATGAAATATAGTCCCTACACTTTTCGAGCATATCCAGTAGCAAGGAGCTAGATTAGCAAACAGTTAGAATACAGCAAGTTCTGCACAAGCACGAGAGGCCGCTGTAGGAGGAGGCGGTGTGAGCTGAGCCCTCCCCGCCTAAGCAAAGGAGAAGTTCTCTGGGCTTAGGTTAATCCCACGACCGTATGGGGCAAATTGGAGTGTTTTCCCAGCAATCTTTAAATCCCTCTCTTGTGTGCTGCTTAATCTGTTTTAAGTAGCTACTAAGGGAAAAGATGCTTTTGAATGATCATGATTGTACTGTTATTGACAGATATTAGCCGTAACTCTGTTTTCATTTTCTCCTTAGTGTCAAATCAACAGTGCCTTGACTTCTTTCCACACTGCTTTGGAACTTGCAATCGATCAGAGAGAAATTCAACATGTGTGTCTGTATGAAATTGGTAAATATGCACTGTCTGTCCAGTTTCTCGTTACAAAGCAGTATTAATGCTTTCTGGTATGGTTTTTCATTATTCCTGCCCTTCAGTTTGTGTCTTTGCAAAATGCTTGCTGCCAGCTGGGTGCAGAGGCCCACGCCTGTAATCCTAGGACTCTGGGAGGCCAAGGCAGGTGGATTATTTGAGCTCAGGAGTTTGAGACCAGCCTGAGCAAAAGCGAGACCCCCGTCTCTACTAAAAATAGAAAAAATTAGCCAGGCATAGTGACACATGTCTGTAGTCCCAGCTTACTCAGGAGGCTGAGGCAAAAGGATCGCTTGAGCTCAGGAGTTTGAGGTTGCTGTGAGCTAGACTGACGCCACGGCACTCCAGCCAGGGAAACAAAGTGAGACTCTGTCTCAAAAAATAAATAAATAAATAAAAACCAATAAGATAAAAAAATAAATAAAATGCTTGCTGCCTTACGTAATAGTAAGGACTTTGATTATTATCACGGCACGTGCAATGATACTTATCTCCCCTAGTCTCCTTACTTCTTTATAACATTTTGTTCTTTACAGCACTTTGATTTTAGGATAATGCGTAATGTTAAATGAATTGATTAAATAAATAATCATTTCTAAATACCTTCTTGGTTCATCAGAATTCACAGCTTCCCACTAATGTTTACTTGAGAAGAAAAATAGGGCATAAGAGAGAGGTGGACTGCAATCCCAGCTTTTTCATAGGCTAGCTCTGCAACCTTGACCTGGGACAAGTGGCCCGAACCTTCCACGCCACATAGTTGCTCTTGGAGTTAAGGTTCCTCCCCACATAGCCGCTGTGAGGCTTAGATGACAGAACGTGTGCGAAGCCTCATGCCGGATGCTTGGCACAAAGAAGACCCCCTGTACATGTTAGCTGCTACCTTCTGCTCCTCCCCTACTGGAGATAAATTTATAAACAAACATGGAAGTATTTATTTGCATAAGATTTTGCCCCCCTCCTTTTCCAAAGCTGTTGCCCTGAGTCTTCGGGCGACTGCACTAAAACTCTCTGATCCTGTTACATTAGTCATTTCAAAATCCGTTCATGTAACAGTTTCTCCATTGTGCTGAGAAGAGTAAACAAAACTTTGGGCTTGAAACAAACCAAAATATTGTTAAATAAGGGGCTCATACTTTTTAGAGTTTCACGCTAGCTCATACTGCAAGGTCACATCATATAGCTCATAGAAAAAGGAATGACAGACGAGGAAGAGGAGGAATGATGAGGTGGTGATGGAAATGCAAAGGGGAAATCAAAAAGCCGTGTGCAGAGGGCCAGGGAAGCAGAACAGAGAGTGCTGGGGGAGCAAGTGACACCTGTCAGTGTGGGGCCCTATGGACATAATTGTCCTCCTGAAGCCTTTTAAAGAAAACTGCAAACTAAAAGATTAGGAGCTCCCTGATAGACAATATTATGTTTTAAATGCCTGTTGTTGTTTAGGAAGAGGAAAGGTAGTATAATCCAGTGGAAAATGTATTTTTATGTCATCTAAACTCTGCTGGAGTTCTGTGTCATAGCCATGATATAGAATGAAATGTGTTTCAAAGAACTTGAATTAAAAAGTCTAGCTTTGATGGCCTTTTCTGGTGCCTTTCAAGATCTATGGTGGTATATAGTGTTAGAGCTAAATGAAGCTTAGAAATCATCCAACTCAGGCCTCAGGGAGGTTAACTCAGGAATAAGTATTAATAGCAACTCAGGCTGTTGCTTCAGGCTCAGTGCTGCCTTCCATCTCTATTTCATCTTTAATTCAAATCTTACCCTGATATCTATTACAGAATAAAAATAATTAGCCCAAATGTTTACTCTCAACTCTGTCAACATCATATCCTATAGAATTTGACAGTGAATTTTCTGGAAGTTTCTATCTCCCCACCCCCTATGGTTTAAATGACAAGTCCCAGATTATACAGTTACTTAGTGATGCACCTGATACCAGATCTTTTTTTTTAATTATTTATTTTTTATATATAATTTTTAAAATTTTAGCATATTATGGGGGTACAAGTGTTAGGGTTATGTATATTGCCCATACCCCTTCTCCCCTCTTGAGTCAGAGCTTCAAGCGTGTCCATCCCCCTAACTTTGCACATCTTACTCGTAGTGTTTGTATATACCCATCCCCTCCTCCCCCTCCCACCTGCCCGACACCCAATAAATGTTACTCCCATATGTCCACTCAGGTGTTGATCCATTAATACCAATTTGCTGGTGAGTACATGTGGTGCTTGTTTTTCCATTCTTGAGATACTTAGTAGAATGGGATCTTTTTTTTTTTTTTTTTTTTTTTTTTTTTTTTTTTTATGGAGGCAATATTGTGTAAAGGAAAGAGTGTTGGACTTTGATCCACAGTTCTTCTTATTAGCTATGTGGCCTCGAGCAGATCACAAATCTCTTGATACCTTAGGTTTTCTCCTTGCTAGAATCAGGACACTATCAGCCACCTTTGCCAGGTTGTGGAAGGATTAGAAAGAGTCACATCAAGTGCCCAGCACAGCATTTGGGCACATATTCGAGGCTCGATTGATGGGAGACACTATGATTAATAATGGGAATGAAATTCCTTCCATTTTAGTTGCTGCTGTTCCTTACCAGAATGCTGGGCGAACAGTGTTTTGATCCAGAAAAGATGGGGCCCTTCCTTAGCTCCGCTGCTGGTGTGCAGAGGGAGGGTGGGCAAGTATTTAATTTTTCACTGGCTTGCTCTCTGCTTCCGGGAAGATTTTGAGAATTAGTAGTAATGATCATCTGGTGAGTGCTTTAAGACTTTCTGAGGTAGTCAGTAAGTAAGTATATAATCCAGCAGTGTTTCTTCCACTGCTTATCCTGCCTATGCCTACTCTTGGAGAAGCACCGCCGTGCTTGGGTTAATCGCACAACTCTATGGAGCAAATTGGAGTGTCTTTCTGGACATCTTCACACCATTCTCTTCTCTACTGCTTTATTTGTTGTGAAATTTGAAGCACCTTATCTCACTCAGACTTTACATTGAAAGTATTTAAGGGAAACAAATAATTTCTTAGGTTTTGAGGCTGAAGTTTTCACAAGTTTCATAGGACATTCACAGAGAAAGATAGCAGTGTCAGAAATTTGTAGCTCAAATATGGGACACAGAGTTCACTGCTTTAGGGTGATGTGCTAAAAATATTTCTTTCCTAGGTTGGTGCAGCATGATAGAGCTCAATTTCAAGGATGCATTTGATTCCTTTGAGAGGCTAAAAAACGAATCCAGGTGGTCCCAGTGCTATTACGCCTACCTGACTGCAGGTGAGTAGATGATGGTCCATGCGGTGCGCCCCTCTCTGTTGTGAGTTAGCTCACCTGCCACTGGCAGACGTGAGAATAAAGGCAGCGAGAATCGCGGTTGCACCCTTCCTTAGTTTTCCCAGCATGTTGACATTTTGCAACCAAGGCAAATAGGAGTCGGAGTACCGTGTTCATCAACCCAGCTGAACACTGAGAAATTCAGCAGTGTCCCTGGTCCCCTTCTCACCCCGTGTTTCCCCTCTGGGCCCGGTTCAATACTGTGCTCGATGTCGGACATGGTTACTGCAAGGTTTTCCTGGTCTTTGTACATTTCACCCTAAATTCAGCAGTGTCTCTGGTCCCCTTCTCACCCCGTGTTTCCCCTCTGGGCCCGGTTCAATCCTGTGCTCGATGTCGGACATGGTTACTGCAAGGTTTTCCTGGTCTTTGTACATTTCACCCCAAGCAGCCTCAACCTGCTCTTACCTCCTTTCTTTACATGCTATATTTTTTATTTATTATTAGAAATCTAAAGAACTTTTAAGAGTTGAACATCTTTGTCATTGTGTTAATATTTCTGTTTGGTTACAAAGTTGCATAGGTTTTGAGTGATCTGCTCCAACCTTGTTTTACCTATTAACCCTGTCATGTTTACAGTGTGATATTGAAGAATGCGAGAGATTTCGATACTGCCTATCATCATAGCAGGAACACTTGTAATTTCTGTTTTGAGTATGAGTGTTTCTTGCTTTTTTTGCTCTTGTGTGAGATAGTTAAAGGTGTGCTGCCACCTGGTGGACAAAAAAGTTATCTGCGCCCACCCTGCGATGCATAAAGTGCCATGTGATTTAGAATTGCAGAGGGATGGAATTGAAGAAAACCAAGAGGTTATACCTTTTCTACCTGTAAGATGAATTCTCTTTATGCAGCCACATAAGTTATTCTTTGCTTAAAATTCAAGACTAATTCAAACATTATTTTAAATAACTCCAACACCTTCCCCTTTCATTCCATCCCCCTTAACTGATCTTATTTAAAATAAGGTAGAATTGATTAACATTGGCCAATAAATATATCCTGGATATCTGAAAATCACTATAAAATTCTATCAGTCCATTAGCAGTCAGTACAAACCTTCTTACTGCAGTCCCTGTAGGGCATCCGTGTTCTGTGGTTCTGTGTCTGATGTTTGAATAAGGTTATTTTCGATGTATTGGATAGGATGCAATGTCTCACACTCAAACGGTTGTTTATAGAATTTGAAGGCATCTCAGATGAAAGGAGCAGCTGTTTATTGAGCGGGCTTGGCGTGTTCAACATGCTGAGGAGTGGGTGGGTGAGCCCTGATCGCACAGCCCAGAGAAGAGAGGCCTGCACGCAGCTCAGCAGTCATTAGGTGGAATGGGGCCGCACGGTCAGCGGCTGGCAGCTATTGCTTTTTAAACTTCTGTCAAACACAGAAGAAATAAATGTACACTGTGGCTCTGTAAAGGAACATTTATTCTCCAAATACTTGGAAATCCCGGGACTACACCAGCTGTAGGAGAGAATAAGTGTGGAAGATTCTACTTGTGATCTCTGCAAGGGGATTTTGGGGCGAGGATGAGACGGGAGGGGAGGGCTCTGCTGCAGAGAGAATGAGAGGCAGGGAAGGAGCGCTGTGTCCTGCCTCAGAGAAGGCATCTTGCAGGAGCTGCCGTTTGAGTTGGCCTGAAGGACGGGAACCTGTAGACAGGCAGAGCTGGGGGGACGGGGACCAGAAACACTGCCACTGGGGCCTAGTTCCTTGTACTATTTTTTATTGTGAATATATATATTCACTATATATATATATATATATATATATATATATATATAAAATATACCATCTTAACCATTTTTAAGTGTACATGTCAGTGGTATTATGTACACTCATGTTGTTATGTAGCCATTGCCTGCATCCATCTCTGGAACTTTCCATCAGCCCAAACTCAGTACCTCTTAAACACTAATTCCCCATTCTCTCCTCAACCCCCCCAGCCCCTTGTTACCATTGTTCTATACTTTCTGTTTCTAATGAATTTGACTTTTTGCTTGTCTCCTATAATTGAAATATATTTGTCTTTTTTGTGTTTGGCTGATTTAGCATAATGTCTTCAAGCTTCATCCATGTTGTAGCATGTGTTGGAAACTACATTTTAACGCTGAATAATACTCGATTGTATGTATATATTGCATTTTTATCCATTCATTCATTGATGGGCATCTGGGTGGTTACCACCTTTTGGCTATTGTGAGGGATCCTTATCATGAACATTGATAGATAAGTATCTATTCAAGTTCTTGCTTTTAATTCCTATGGGTAAATACCAAGAAGTGGAATTGCTAGATCATATACATGCATATGTACTATTCTCAAAATCATAAGTTATCAGAAAAGATTAGGATATCACATATGAGATGGTATAAACTCAGTCTTAATGGAAGAGCCAGGCATCAAAGTTCTGTTTAGGCCTCATATTTTAGGATAAATCAGAGACTGTCATGCTTTTAAACATCTGCATTTTTTAAAGCCACTGTGTATAATTTCACTGCAAGAGGAGTAGGTGCTGGTCATTCCCCAGGGCCTGAGGTATTGGGGTTGCAGACCTTTGGGGGTGGTTCAGATGCTGACACGGTGGCTGTTTATGACTGGGTTTCTTTCTCTTTGATTGTGTGACTCCATAAGAATGTTCTCAGCGATCTGAGGAAGACCTTAAGCCTCGGGCAGCAGAAATTATTCTTTGTCACTGGTTTACTGTGTGACCTTGGGCAGCGCTTAACTTTTCTAGAACTCTGCATCTTCTGATCTATAAAACGATGGGGTCGGTTACACAAGACAATCACTAGGCTTCCTTCTGGTTTTTAAATGTTATAGCTTTAAGCGATGAGGTCATTTTGGATCGGTGCAGACCCGACATCTGGACCAGGGATGCTCAGTAACCGGGAATGGGGTTGTCCCTTCCCGTGACTATTCAGCCTAACCCTCTCACCCAGTAGGAACATTCTGCCTTTCCTCTCCCTCCGGCATCCTCAGCTTCCTGCAAGCCTGGCTGCTTCTGGTCTTTGGCTCTGCCCACAGTCGCCTGTCCGGTGACACGCGTGGCCCTGTGCTCTACTCGACCTAGTTTTAGGGGTGCTCAAATAAAGGAGGAGGAACTAGCGAATCAGTTTTAGCACATTCCAGTTGGGGAGCAAAAAAACCACACATGTGACTAAGACAGCATCTAACAAAAAATGAGTAGAAGTGGATTCATTGCCGCAGAGGTTGAGAGGAAGGAGACAAAATTTCAGTCAGGAAGTGGGGCTGAGCCCAGGTGTGAATTTTGGACGAGGGCGAGGGAAGCTGCAGCAAAGGAGCATGGCCGCACGTTTGTGCGGGGCGTGAGGCGAGAGGAGGGTGGTGTGCGGGTCACCAGAATCTCACTCGTCCTTAAAGACGCAGCTCGACTTCTCCCAGCTCCTCAAAGCTCCTGATCGATCGCTCCAAAGAGAAAAGATCCTTTGTCTTTCTGAGCCTTTCTAAAAGCACTTGGGTTCTCCTACCCTAGCTATTCCCATCACTGCATACATTGTAGCTATGGGACTCTGCCCGGGTGTGTGTTCGCATATGTGTGTGTGTGTGTGTGTGTGTGTGTGTGTGTGTGTGAGAGAGAGAGAAAGAGATCTCCAACTGAAATTTCAGCTTCTTCAGGGGGCCAGCATGTGTGTTTCTTCTTCATATTTTTGCTGGTGGCTTGTAGGTGGCAGGTGGCTAATGAGCATGCAAAGCTGTGGTCCCCAACCTCCAGGCCATGGACTGGTACCGATCCGTGGCCTGTTAGGAACCGGGCCGCACGGCAGTAGGGGAGCAGCAGGCGAGCAAGTGAAACTTCATCTGTATTTACAGCCGCTCCCTGTCACGCCCATCACCGCCTGAGCTCCGCCTCCCGTCAGATCAGGGCGGCATTAGGTTCTCATAGGAGCGAGAACTCTACTGTAAACCACACGTGCGGGGGATCTAGGTTGTGGCTCCTTATGAGAATCTAGTGCCTGAGGATCTGAGGTGGAGCTGAGGCGGTGATGCTAGTGCTGGGGAGCAGCTGCAAATACAGATTATCATTAGCGGAGAGGTTTGGCTGCACTATCAATGTAATGCGCTTGAGTCATCCCGAAACCATCCCCCGCCTTCCCCATCCGTGGAAACATTATCTTCTGTGAAACTGGTCCCTGGTGCTAAAAAGGTTGGGGACCGCTGGTGTAAAGGACTAATCATGGCTTTCCAGAACAAGGATATCCTCCGTCCACCGGGAAACTTTTGGATTCTTCTGGGCTCCTCATTGTTCTTTCCTAGATTCCTTTTTATTCTACTTTCTGAGCGTGTGGGCTCCAACTAAGTTGCGCACTCTGATAACAGGTAGGGCCTTTGTTATGTGGGAGAGGACAAGGGCCGTGTTGTTCCCCATGTCCCCCTAGCGCTCTGGGAACACAGGCACCTGGGAAACAGTGGAGCTGGTGGCATGATGCCCCGCAGGACGGTGCTGTCCTTTGTGCAACAGTCTGTACGCCTGTTTCCTCCCATTTTTTTCCAAGTGTCATCGCTCCAGGTATCCCTTAGTGGGATTTCCCCCCAGTACTTAAGAAAACAATTATGGCTTCTTGCAGTGTGTCAGGGAGCCACCGGTGACGTGGACGGGGCACAGATTGTCTTTAAAGAAGTTCAGAAACTCTTCAAAAGGAAAAACAATCAGATTGAACAGTTCTCGGTGAAAAAGGTACGTTCGAGCCTACTAATCTGGTATATTATTTATGATTGGCATTTGAAGTTTTAGGAAATTATATTCAAGGCTGGCAGTTTACTTGCCACGTATAATACAGTTCATCACTATGGGGGGAATTTATTCCATGATCGTATCTCTGCTCTGAATAGGACGTATTGGTTTTGCTGTAAAGAATGAAAGCAGATTTTTTTTTTTAATGGAGAGAGGCATTAAAGACTCTGCAGAGCTAATGAACATATCTCTAGAGGGAAGTTATCTGTCTAAAGAATTAGGTAGTTTCAGAAGAACACAAGTTAGCAGAGCCCAATGAGAGATATAGACTAGAGTTCAGGAGAATGAACAGGTTACATTTTGGTGTAATAAAAAGCCAAAATGTGCATCACATTTCCCAGCAGAAAGACCCAGGACTATAAGAACAATGTCCCAAATTTATTCTGTACTTTTGACAATAAAATTTTGCTGAATTACCTTGAGTTACACGACATCATACATTCTGAATTTTCCATGATTTTAGTTTTATAAGTTTTTATTGAAGTGAACATTTGATGAAGTTTCTTGAGTATAAATTAGATGATTATAATGTGGAATGCAACTGAGAGCACTGGCACTAAGTAGAAAATTAAATGATCGGTAGAACCATACCTAAACAAAAAGTTGTCTAGTATTAGATCATCCATATATCATCCTTTGAGTTATTATTTATCCCCAAGCTTCATAAATTCTGTTGATTTAAACTAAAATGAATCCAGTCTCATCCTCAAGTTTTCAGAATATACCCTGGATCTTGATAGTAGGTTGAGTTGAATGATGAATGAAAAGTATGTCAACCAGTATGTTAAAAACTGGAAGCAATTTTTTAAATTTTTAAATTTTTAATTTTGTTAATTTTTAGAGACAGAGCCTCACTCTGTTGCCCAGCTAGAGTACATAGCTAGGCATTGTCATAGCTCATTGCAACCCTAAACTCAAGTAATCCTCCTGCTTCAGCCTCCCAAATAGCTGGGACTGCAGGCTCATGCCACCACAACCAAATTTTTCTATTTTTTATAGAGATGGGGTCTTGCTCTTGCTCAGGCTGGTCTCAAACTCCTGAGCTCAAGCAATCCTCCCACCTCGGTCTCCTGGAGTGCTTGGATTACAGGTGTGAGCCGTCGTGCCCAGCCAAAATGTTTTAAATATAGAGAAATTTTTATTTTTAGCTTTGAAGGAGAGGGCCATTCACATCGACTATGAACTGTGTGCAAAGTATATTTTTTAATTTCAATTTAGTTTTGAAAAAATGTAGCCTAATCATCTAATTTCTTGCAGGCAGAGAGATTTCGGAAACAAACCCCAACCAAAGCGCTCTGTGTGTTGGCTTCCATCGAAGTGTTGTACTTGTGGAAAGCTCTTCCGAACTGTTCCTTCCCCAACCTACAGAGGATGAGTCAAGGTAAAAAAACTAAAATAAAATTTAAAAAAAACAAGCCCAAACTATACACATTGGCTTCTTTTGTCAGTGCAGCAATCTTCAGTTTCTCCTTAATATTATCTGATTCAGAGAGTACAAACATGTCCTCATCCTTGGATAAAGGGAGTAGTGATGAAGAGAATTCCACGGCTTAGGTGATGGGAACGGGAGGCACTGGTGTGCACGGATCTGCTTGCCTTGTTAGGAGGACAGGCTGATGCTCTTACTATAAATGTTATTAACTCTACACCCAGGGGAGTTGCTGGAAGCATACTTTTTTCCCAATAAAAGCACTGTGTTTCATTTAGGTGTGAGTCACATACATCAAAAGCACAAATATTAAAGTGTACTGTTCAATGAGTGTTGACAAGTATATACACCCTGGTATCCACCACAGCAATCAGGATCCAGAACATTTCCACCACCCTTAGCACTGGGCCCCTTCCCAATCAGTCTCTACTCCAAGGCAACCACTGTTCTGACTTCTGTGTCTGTAAATTAGTTTTGCCTGTCCTTGAACTTCATCTAAGTGGAATCATACAGTATATCCTTTTTTGTACGTGGCTTCATTTGTTCATTGTAAGAACAAATGAAGTCAGTGGGATATATCCATGTTGTATCCTGTAGCATTAGTGTGTCTCTTTTACTGGCTAAGTAGTATTTTGTTGTACGACTATACTTATACCACAACTTCTTTGTCCTTCTATCAAAGGACATTTGGTTTGTTTTTGATTTTTTAACTCATGGGTAAAGCTGCTACAGATATAAGTGTACAACATAAGTTTATGAGTCTTTTGTATGAATATACCTGCTCATTTATCTTGGGTAGAGACCTAGGAGTGTGATTAGAAGCCTATGTTTTTGATTCATGTATTATAATAACCATAAGATACAGGTTGTATATGAGATAACCTTGATAAAGTCATCTTTATTACAGTTGGAAAAGTTCACAGGGAGAATAACTTTCTAAATAAATTATTAAAAAATAACATGCTTCTCAAGGTTTAGTGATAGACCTTAGAATGGTTCTTTGTATTCTAGCAAATGATTTGCTCCACACTGCAACCCAGAGTAGCAGAAAAGGCAGACAGCACGGCCGTACCCATTTTGTAATGAAGAAGCAAACTCAGGTGACCTGCCTCGTGCCCTTCAGAGCCTGGGTGGGAACTCCAGCTCCGCAGGCCACACGTTGAGGAGCAGAGCTTTCTGCTGTCCCTCCACACAACTTCATCTTTTCCTGGGAGTGTGAGGATTTTGAAATTACGCAACTCGAAGTATGATCATAAGATGAGACTGCTATGTTAAAATAAAAACACACACATCCAAATGATGGTTCATAGAAAATAATTACCTTTGGAAATATATTCTTATACATATGCTGCCCTTTCTAAAAAGAGATTTAGCATTGATATTTTGGACATAATATTCCAGAAATAGTTTATAAACCACTGCGGAAAATTTGTCTGATTTTTCTTCGGTCACTCTTGTTTTTGTCCAAATATGCCATTAGCCATTAAGTCATATATTTTTATCATCAGACCTCTTTGCAGATGCCTTTTGCCTGTTTCTTAAAAAAAAAAAAATCCTCTATCAAAGGTCAAAAGATTGCCAGTGTTGCTGTTCTAGCAGCAGAAGGAATAAGACTCCATAAGAAGTTTTGCCTGGTGGCCTTATAATTAGAGTAGGTGTATAACCCTCCCCGGGAGCAATTTGAAAGGAAGCAAAGTTTTCTTGGATGTGTTAAATTCTGCAGTGTTCATTTAAAAAGGATTTGCACAATTTAAAACCCATCCCTGTTGTTGAAGCAAGTTTAAGACATCTACCAATGTCTAACTGAAAGGAATAATGAAGGATCTTGAGTATTTTTTTAATGTTCAAGTGCAAGATCATGTATTGAGAGATAAAACACAAATGCAAAGATAAGATAGGCAGTAACTGACAGGCACAAGAACAATTAGCACTTACATGAGATTTGACTAAAGTTTTCGGACCCTCTTTCCAGGTATCAAAATAAACTAACCACAAAGATATGTTCATGGAGAGGGAGACAGTCTCTGGAGTGAACATGAGATAATTCTCTAATATCTTTGTTAAAAGTTAACCCAATTCTGAGATCTATTAATTAGATTATATCATTCCCGAGTGTCAAGCAATAATGATGCATATCAATCCAACTGTATAGAGTATGGTGAAGATCTTTGCAGAGGGAATGTCATGTTCCAGAACAAACTGAGAGCAGGCTGTGTGTATTATAACATTTATTAAACTCTTTCCAAATGCCCTCCTGGTTTTGTGCATTCAACTTGTCAGAGTCCCCATCTGTAACTCCCTTTATCAGCAGAGCTAGTTTGGTCCCCATATCCTTGTCTGGTGGTTTCATTCAAAGCCTTTCCCCCACCCACCTGCCCTTCTCCACTGCATTCTTCCTCTGCATTTTAAAGGTGTTCCTTTGTACTCTGAGCATAGCAGGCAGAGTCATCCTATTAAAACCTAAGTCATATTCTGTCAGCCTGCTTCTCAGAACCCTCTGTGTTCTCTCATATCATTCAAAATGGAAGTCCAAGTCCATTCAGTGGCAGGCAGTGCCCCCAGTCTAGAACCCCCAATGCCACTGCCTCTCCCTGCTCTTTGCCTTGCTCACTGGGCTTCAGCCACACCCCTCCTACCTACTCTTGAACACACTTGGCGCATGCTGGCCACAGTGCCTTTGCACTTGCTCTTCTGTCTGACTGGTAGTGCTCTTCCCTCAAACCTTCATATGGTTCCTTTACTCATTCCCTTCAAGTCTTTATTTCAGAAATTACATTTTCAGGGAGGCTCAAACTGCCTTTCCCATGCACAGACACACAAACTTCCAATCCCCCCTTCCTGGTTGTACTTTTTACCTTAGCATGTACACTTACTTAATGAACATATTTTAACTGTTTGTCTTTTGTGTTGTCCATCTCCTCCACAAAGTTTAAGCTTCTTAAGGGCAGGAATATCTTTTTTCTCTTGGCAAAGATTTTATTTATTTTTAGAATCAATGCTTATTTGTTTGCTATGCTGCCCAGACTGGAAACTCTGAAACTCTTGTGCTCAAGCAATCTTTCTGCCTTAGCCTCCGGAGAAGCTGAGATTATAGGCACGTGCCACTACACCAGGCTTGTTTCTATTTTTTAAGCAATTCACAAACTTACAAAAATAGTCAAACTGTTTAAAGGGGTATGGAGTGAAAGTGTCCGCACACATGTGTGTGTACACATACAATTACTCAAATGGCAACATCTTCTACATACTGTTCTGCCCTATGTTTTTGTCATTTAACAATATTCTTGAGATCATCTAATATCAACACATTGATCTATCTCATTCTTTTTAATGTCTTTGTAGTATTTCAAACTGTGAATATTGATAATTTATTTAGCTGGTCTCCCCAGTGAGCACATAGGTTGTCTCCAGTCTTTTGCTACAAAAATTGACTACTCTATGCTTCAGTGACTGTACTCACACATATATCTGTGCATCTGTGTGCCTGTATTGTTTGTAAGATAAATTCCTAAGAGTAGAATTTCTGAGTCAAAAGGTATGTGCTGTTTAAATATTTTTGTAGATTTCACAAATTTCCCTCTAAGAACATTACACCCATTTGCAATCCCTACAGTAATTTTTTATTATTAACTATAAGCACGATGTTGTACAGCAGATCTCTAGAAATTTTTCGTCTTGCATAACTGAAACTTTATATACACTGAACAGCAAATCCCACATTCCCCCTGCCCACCCCAGACACTGGCCACCACCGTTCTATTTCTGTCTATGGATTTGACTACTTTAGATAACTTTTATAAATGGAATCGTGTTGTGCTCATTATTCTGTGACTGGCTTATTTCGCTTAGCACAATGTCCTCCCTGTCCATCCATTGTGTTGTATATGACAAGATTTCATTCTTTTTTTAAGACTGCATAATATTCCATTGCATGTATATACCACATTTTCTTTATCCATTCATCCATCAATGGACATTTAGGTTGTTTCCATATCTTGACTATTATGAATAATGCTTCAATGAACATGAAAGCGTGAATATCTCTTTGAGATCCTGATTTCACTTCTTTTGAAATAAATACCCAGAAGTGAAATTGTTGGATTATATGGTAGTTCTATTTTTTAACTTTTTGAGGAACCTCCATACTGTTTTCCATAGTGGCTACACCATTCTACATCCCACCAGCAGTGCACAAGAGTTCCAATTCTCCTTATCTTCATCAACAGTTCTGATTTTTGTTTTGGTTTTTATGATGACCGTACTAACACATATGAGGTAATATCTTCTTGTGGTTTTGATTTCCATTTCCCTAATGGTTAGTGATGTTGAGCATCTTTTCCTGTACCTGTTGGCCATTGTATGTCTTCTTTGGAGAAATGTTTATTTCAGCCCTTTGTGAGGGCAGGAATTTTATGTCTGTTTTGTCACTGTTGTATTCTAAGCTCCTACAACTGCCTGACAAATAGTAAATGCTCGATAAATATCAAATGAACGAATGAGTGTAGTAAATGAATGAGCAAGTGAATGAATTGCATTAATACTTCCTTAACACGGCTGCCTTAAGAGCTGCTTTTGTGTTCTTTTTTTGTAGGAGTGTATCCAAGCCTGGCTTTGGGGGCAACTCCTGCCTTTGCATGTTCAGATTCTCTTTTCACACTTACCTCCTTCTCACCACTCTCCAGATTTCTTATTTGATAACTTGAGTGCATTATATACATACATAAGCTTATTGAATCTCAGCATCTTTATTGGTCTATGGAAACAATTATATTACATCCTTTCCTCCTCTGTTAGCTCCACTGTGTTTCCAGTTTCCATCTTTCTCATTTCCATAACATTCTCCATGTGTGTCCATTTCCCCCCCCCCTCCACCAAGCTGCTTAAAGTGGAGGGATCAGTTCTGATCTCCTCCCACTGACCAGTACAGTGGTTCATACAGACATGTGAAAGTGTCCATTGCATGGTTTTTGAAATGAATGTGATGTAACTTTGAAAAATTAATAGAACTTTCCTAGAGCAGTTTTATATTCTCAGCAGAATTGAGCAGAAAGTCCCCACATACTTCTCCCCATCCGCTAGCCTCCCTGACTCCAGTACCCTGCACCATGTGGTATCTTTGTTACAGTCGATGGACCAGCATGGACACAGCCTCATCACCCAGAGCCCACAGTTCGCATTAGGGTCATTCTTGATGTTGCACACTCTGTGCGCTTGGCCAGATGTATAGTGACATGTGTCCACCATTGTAGCTTCATACAGAGGAGTTTCACTGCCTTAAACATCCTCTGTGCTCTACCTGTTCATCCCTCCCACTCCCCCTTACTCCTGGAAACCGCTGACGTTTTTACTGTCTCCATAGTTTTGGAGACATTTTCTGAAATGTTGCATAGTTGGAATCATATAGTATGTAGTCTTTTCAGATTTGGTTTTTTGACTTAGTAATGATGTGGTGCAATTTTGAGTCATCTGGACTCTATGAAGTTTGATATTTTCGTCTTCCTTTGACTAAAGATACTCATGGATGAGGAATGGGTACCCTCTGAGTTTCAGGGGCAAAAATATAAACTGAATAAGTAGCTAACCAATGAAATATTCACTTGACTGTTCATGATATTTAAGGAATTAAGAGAACGTATTTACTTCCTATGTTCTCTCCCCTTCTTTATAAGCTTGCCATGAAGTGGATGATTCATCTGTCGTTGGATTAAAGTATTTGCTTCTTGGTGCCATACACAAATGTCTAGGCAACTCAGAAGATGCTATTCAGGTAAACTGTTAATGTTGTCATGGGTAAATCCTGAACACCTACACATGTGCTTGTGAATAAAAAAAATTAAAAAGCATTAGACAAAACAAAACCTCCCACTGCAGTATGTACTTTATCTACTTTATTTGATTAAAGCCATCTTCTCAGATGCTGGAAGCTGGTTAAGACTAGTTTTTAATGTAACTTCAGATTCTTAGACTACTTTTTATATCTGGGCTTCTTTTCTAGAAGCCCTGATATATTATTATTATTTTTTTATTTTTTATTATTTTATTATTTTTTTATTTCAGCATATTATGGAGGTACAAATGTTAAGGTTATGTATATTGCCCATCCCCCCCCTCAAGTCAGAGATTCAAGTGTGACCATCCCCCAAATGTTGCACATCTCACTCATTGTGTTTGTATATACCCATCCCATCCCTTCCTCCCTTCTCGCCCCAGCCCGACACCCGATAAATGTTATTCCTATATGTCCACTTAGGTGTTGATCCGTTAACACCAATTTGCTGGTGAGTACATGTGGTGCTTATTTTTCTATTCTTGAGATACTTCACTTAGTAGAATGGGTTCCAGCTCTGTCCAGGAAAATACAAGAGGTGCTATATCACCGCTGTTTCTTAAAGCCAAGTAGTACTCCATGGTACACATATACCACATTTTATTAATCCACTCATGAATTGATGGGCACTTGGGTTGTTTCCACGTAGCACTCATTATTTATCAAAGATGACAGACAGTCTCAACTGGAGAGAGGAGGAAGTGAGGAGGCAGGCAATTTCGAAGGAGCAGAATGGAGCTTTAGACAAAACCAAAAATGATCAGACGTAATGTTCAGTATATGTTCACTTTTCTATGAAACTGCAGATCACTGATGCAGTACTGGAAGTGAGATCTAGAAAGTTATTAGCTTAGGATAGTCTAGTACATATGAAAAAGAACCATTAACTATTTTCAAATATATTTGGAGGGATTTTTCTAACCAAGTTTTTGGTTCCATTGGTTTTTTTGAAGAAGTGTATCCCAGTGTTACTTTGACTACTCTTTGAAAGAATTCATATATAGTATTAGAAGACTTTTGACTTTTAAATCCTAGAATGTTAATGTACTTGGATTGTAATTTTAAATTAATCTTTCAGTATTGGGTTGTGATAGTTATTGCAAGCCCTAAATAGCTTATTTTAGGTCAAATGCTTAAGTGCCAGCAAGATACAGTCAAGACAAATGTCAAGAGATGGTTCTTGGCTTGTGTGTTTTCTATTTTAATTATTGAAATGGCATGTTTAGACTTTTAGATGCAGATAAAGATTTCTGAGCAATAAAATCAGTAGAGGCTGGTGTGTCCACTGGAAAAATAAGTAGCACAAATTAGGCAGACTGATAGCATATTCTGGGGGAAGCTTCCAGATGAGCATGTAGAGGATATCTGAGATATGGATGGGAAGGAATGAAGATGAGGAAAGAAGAGAAAATCTGACCTGGAAAAAATGAGTTCCCCTTCCCACCTCCAGAAGACTGTGAGAAGTAGGAGAATGAATTCATTCCAATAACATGTATATTATTTCAGTTCTTTCAGCGAGCTGTTAAAGATGAGTTGTGTCGTCAGAATAACTTATACATTCAGCCGTATGCCTGCTATGAACTTGGCTGTCTTCTACTAGACAAACCAGAGGTAAGATCATATATGTAAATATATTTTAATAATGTTCATCAACAAAAATGTACAATTGAGCAGGCACAAAGCATCCTTCATTTAAAATAAATGTATTGAACATATAGAGTTCTTCATTTTGTTTTCCTTGATTTCATATAGGGTGAGTCCAAGAAGCTAGTAATCCCATCTTACTGTCTTTAAGGAGGTAATTTCTTCTCTAGAATTCAAATTAGAGTTATGCATCTCTTAACAATAGAGATACATTTTGACTCATGCATCACTGTGCGAACACCATAGAGTGAACTTACACACATCTAGAAGGTGTCGTCTAATACACACATAGGCTATGCGGTGTAACGTATTGCTCCTAAGCTACCAACCTGTACAACGTGTTACTGTACTGAATACTGTAGGCACTTGTAACATAAGGGTAAGTATTTGTGTATCTAAGTGTATCTACACATAGAAAAGATACAATAAAAATATGGTATAAAAGGTAAAAAAATAGTATACCTATACAGGGTACTTACTGTGAATAGAGCCTGCAGAAATAGAAATTGCCAGTGAGTGTGTGGTGAGTGAATATGAAGGCCTAGGACATTACTGTGTACTACTGTAGATTATAAACACTGTACATTTAGGCTACACTAAATTTATAAATAATATTTTTCCTTCTTCATTAATAAATTAACCTTAGTTTACCGTATCATTTTTACTTTATAAACCTTTACATTTTGTTAACTTTTGTAAAAGCCATTTAAAACACAAATACATTATACAGTTGTACAAAAATATTTTCTTTCTTTATATCCTTATTCTATAAACATTTTTCTATTTTTATAATTTTATTATGTTTACTTTTTATTATTATAATTATTATTATTATTATTGAGACAGAATCTTGCTCTGTTGCCTAAGCTAGAGTACAATGGTGTTACCATAGCTCACTTAAACCTCAAACTCCTGGCCTCAAGCAATCCTTCTGCTTCAGCCTCCCTAGTAGCTGGGACTACAGGTTTGTGCCCCCACACCTGTCTAATTTTTCTATTTTTTGGAGAGGTGAGGCTCTCACTATGTTGCCCAGGCTAGTCTCAAACTCCTAGGCTCAAGCAATCTCCCCACCTCAGCCTCCCAAAGTGCTAGGGTTACAGGTGTGAGCTGTAAAACCTAGCCTATCTTTACTTTTTTGTTAAAAACGAAGACATAAACACACACATTAGCCTAGGCCCACACAAGGTTGGGAACATCAGTATCACTATCTCCCATCTCCATATCTTATTCCACTGGAAATTCTTCAGGGGCTGTAACATGCATGGAGTTGTCATCTCCTATTATAACAATGCCTTCTTCGGGAATGCCTCCTGAAGGACCTGCCTGAGGCTGTTTTACAGGGTTGTTTTTTTTTTATGAGTAGAAGTACGCTATAAAATAACAATAAAAAGTACAGTGTAGTAAATACATAGACCACTAACATAGTCATTTATTAAATATCATCATTATCAAGTATACCTAATTATATGTGCTAGACTTTAAATGATGACTGGCAGCACAGTAGGTTTGTTTATACCAACGTCACCACAAACATGTGAGTAATGCTTTGCACTGTGACAACGTGACAACAGTGACGACATCCCTAAGCGATAGGAATTTTTCAGCTCCATTATAATCTATGGGACCACTGTCTTATATGTGGTCTGTCATTGACCAAAACAGCCTATGTGGTGCATGACTATACAAATGTAACTTTTTAGACAAAGATTCATTTGAGAGAAAATCATTGCTTTTTTCAGATGGTATGATATGATGTAGTATGGTCCATTCAGAAGAACACAGAATTGTGTTATATGATTCTAGCTTTGCCATTTATTTCAATATATTAACACTGCTTATGTTATTTAACCACATACTTTCTTTCTAATTTTTAAAACAAGATTAAAAAATACCCACCTTGCCAATGCAATAAAGATTATAGTGAGAATCAATGCAGATAATGTATATAATTACTTTAAATTTTTTAGAATATCATATAAATGTAAGCTGACAGTTACTATTAAATTATGTATTTATGTTAGTACAATGGGGTAGGTTTTTCTGGTTTGTTTTAATAGGGTTTCAATAATGCCCAAACTTGCTTGGTATCTTCTTTTAGAAGCTAAATGTGAGCTTCATATATTAGCTTTATAAAATTTTAATTTGCAGTAAATTTAACTCAATTTTCAAATATATGGGCTTTCTAAACATTGAACTAAATCAACAGAAATATGACCCTAGCCTAATCCTTAAATATGTAGCCTATCTTGCCAATGATGGGCTTTTAATTGGAAAGTCTTTTAATTTGAAAGTCTAATTTTAACAAAATGGACAATGTAGTTGTTATGAATTTAGATAGAAACTTCTAAAACTATATTCTTTATTTTAATGAAATTCTTGCTTTTCAGGTAGTCTTAATACACACACATACATAAAATATAATAACAGTGGCCTATTTCTTTATGTAATGCTTTCAAAAGGAAATATGAGCCAGGTGCACGACTCAGGAGGCTGAGCTGGGAGGATCACTAGAACTCAGGAGTTTGGGGCCAGCCTGAGCAACATAGCAAGATCCTATCTATAAACAAAAAAAAAGGAGATAAAAGTATCTTATTTACTGACTTCATATAAGGCCTTTTGATTATCGTTAATTTTAGTTGTTTAGTATGATTTTAACTTAAGGAAGACCTTAGATGTTGCCTTTTATAGACTAATAGTGAAGACTTTCTGAAAAATTGTTTATCAAATAATGTCTTCATGTAAACTGTTAATAAACATCTTTACATTAAAGATAATTGGAGTCATTATACTTGAATGAACAGTTGACTCTGCTATGTCTAATGTGAATTGTTCTAATTAATATATCCTCCTTTTATAACATTTTCTGCTTGAGTATATATAAATATTAATAAATAATATGTTTTCCTTATATTCATAGACTGTAGGAAGAGGCAGAGCTCTTCTTCTTCAAGCAAAGGTAAAAATCCTGAATCTCCCTTTTCCTAGAGGCCCTTCCTATTCTGTGCAGGGTACACCTGAGTCTGAATTCAAGGAAGTCTGTGATGTGATGTTCTAGTTGGTAATATTTCTGGAAAGGAGAAATGATAACCAATTGAATCAATGAGCATTTGATTTTTAAGTGAAATTACCAAGATCATAAGGAACTCCTATGAAATCATTCATCCCACTGTAGAAATATTCTAGTCTTAGTGTGGGAAAATCACTTTTGATTTCCTGTCTACGTTCTTGAATTAAGAATTCCCAACAGTAACATACATTGAACACAACCTAAGACTGCGGTTTCAAGGATCACTTGAGGAAAATTTTCCAAAGGAAACATTACTGATGTTCAGTTGACAGTTTTGAAATGAACATGGAGTTTGAGTTTTGGCGAATAAGAAAATCAAGTGGACGTGAAGCCTTTACTAGGAGTGCAAGGGGTTTTAGTCTGGGAAGTACACAAGTTAGTTAGTGTGGTTTGTGCTGTGGTGCTCTGTGCAGGCTTAGCTAACAGAGTCTGTAAATATCTTTCTTTACTCCCAACAGGAGGATTTCTCTGGCTACGACTTCGAAAACAGATTGCACGTCCGCATCCATGCTGCTCTGGCCTCTCTGAGGGAACTGGTTCCTCAGTGACAGACCCGGCGTGCCCGCTCTGTTCCTCCCCACCCAGGGTCTGCACTTTAAAATAAAAGCAGAGGACAAAGCTCTTGTGAAGATCAGCTTTTCTTCTGAAAACCACCTGTGCCAGGCACACATTTTCCCAGTTAAGCTGACATATTAAAGATCTCCTCTTTTAAACATATAGCTAAAAAGTAATAATGGTGATGATGATGATAATAACTAACCACCTGGGGAGTGGGTTAAGTGACCTTGTTCAAACATTTTAGTTTTGTGATTTATTATTTTTAAAATAAAATCAAACTAAATATTCAACCTATGATCTTGGAGGAACGCCTACCTTAAGCACATATCTGAATGGGTAACGTTACGAGGTAATAATTGTAAAATTATTAACAGTATCATGATATAGCATTTATATTGTGTTTTGAAAAAATAAAAGTGCTTTCTAGTGTTTTACTTTATCCTCAGCATAGTCCCGTGAATCATGTAGCACAGACGTTCTTATCCCCATTTTACAGGTGATGAAACTCAGGCACAAAAAGGCTAATTGGCTTATCCCAATTAATTATTCCTATTATCAGCAGAGCAATGAATAGAGAGCAGATTTCCTGACCACCAACTAAATATTCTTTTATTGTAAAAATAATACAAGTTAATAACCCAGAATTCCATGTTTTACTTAAATAACAAACACTCTTCAGCTGAAGTTGTATCATCAAAAATATTCATCTCCAGCTTGTCCATTTTGTAAAATGTTTCAAAATGATGAACATTTATTTTCCTTTGAAAGCCAACCAAGTAGGAGCAAATAGGAGATAATTTTACAACCAAAAGTATAACCCTTTTGCTAATCTATTAGAAACCCTAGTCTATAGATTAGGCAAAAAATACTACATTTTAGGTGTTTTGCTTTCTTTGTGAAAATTGTCTAATTACCAACTTTTGGAAATCTTTTAACAATTACTTGAAAAGGCTATTCTTGAATGAACATAGATTTTTTTGCCTCAAAATATTTGATGGTGAAACATTTGCTGGGCTGTATATTGCCAAGCTTGAATAATTTTTCCCTTAGCTCAGGTTATTAAATATTATAAAAGGAATTCAAAGGTATTTTTTTATCCTTCATTGCTGATTTTTACTGTCATTTAATTTACCTACATGCCCAGTACTGCACACCTGTGGTTTTGAAGAATCTAAATACCTCAGTCACTATTAAGAATCTCTGCTCAATCTTAAGGTTAGATTTTTACCAATTTTGTATTGAGCTAAAGGATATTGTTTTTGAGTATCATTTATTTACTTACCTTTTTGGCTGAAGCACTGTCTCATGATGTTAGTATTTTAATTTTTCTTTTCAAAATAAAACATGAGAAAAGCAGCTATAACATTGGCAAATTTAATCTGATTTAATCATTTTGTGAGGGAATGATCATTTCTTTGAAAGAAGTTTTTATTTCTGACTGACTTTAGCTAAACTATATTCATGTTTCCTCATCTGTTACCACTTCTTAGTGGACTATTTCCGAAGTGTTTATTCACGTTGACTTTCTTTCTGATTTGAATTCTGTGTGGATTTTAGGTGATAGTGAGAAAAGATTGCTTTCCTACATTCAGAGAATGAATACATCCAAAAGCCAAAAAGAGAACATTTTTCTGAAGAGAAATATTAGTGTCCAAACATATTGATACCTGGACTCATCTAGGCATCATTGATACCTGGATTCATCTAGACTGAAAGGAATAACATTATGAATGTTTAAAATATGGCTTCAGCCATCTTGTTCTCTTCTTAATCTACAATGTAGGTGACAAACTTTTCTGTTGTGCTTGTGGAATATTCCGAATCATGAAGTTCTTGCTTCAGGGTTCATTCTTTCTTGAATTTCCAGTTCAAATATTGTTTGAACTATCATTCCATATTCAAAGATTACATAAGGTCCTGTGCTTTTGAATTTTTAAAAATCGATCTCTGCCTGCTTAAAAAATTTACTTTTATTTCCCCATAGAGATTTCAGGATTTCCAATAAGTTTGTGTTCAGCTCGTTGAACTGGATAGACAACTTTGCAACACCATCCAGTAGGTTTTTCTTTACTAGTCAAAGCATAGATCTGTTTTAAAACAATCTATCCTAGGCTTGGTACAGACAGCTCTGGTGGTGCGTCTGTGCTAACATGGCGGCAGACCATGGAGAGTGGGTAGATGGCGATTCTGGACTCCACAGGGTGAGTACACTGTACCATTAGGCTGACTGAAGTCTGAGTACCTTTTGAGTTGAGTAATTCTAACAGTTATCTGGCCTGCGTGCTATGACTCATCCAACCTGTGCACTGATTGTGATCTGCCTGGTAACTTGGTTTGGTGTAAACTGCTCTTTACCCCTTGCTGAAGAAGAAAATAATCATATAAGTGGAACTATTTGCATCTATGTGTGCTTTCTTTTTTTATGTCACCACCCCTTCCCCTTTCCTATTTTGGAGGCTCTCAAATGGATCTTCTAATTTATAAATGTCAAATATATTTTTGTATTAGATTGTGCCTATGATGAGAGAAATCTTTGATGTATATTTTATGTATGCTGAACACATTTTTATAATTTGACACAGTTGGAGGCGTGACCTAGTAATAATAATGTAATATGTACCTTGCTGGTTAATATATTTAAGATTTTACCTTTTGGGGGGTTAGGTATTTTTTTTTTTGTTTTAGCACATGACAACCAAGTCTTCTACTGAGTAAAAAACTATAACTTTTAGGTGTCACAGACCATTAGAATATTTATTGTTACATCCTGTAAAAGTCAATTATTTATAGAATTTGTACTTTTATATTTCTGCCAACTTAAAGGACAATACATATTTGATTTTTAAAACACACACATACACACATATTTCCTTTGCTGTGTAAAATTTTCCAGTTGATTTCTTCCTTAAGCAAATCATGACAGCAAGCATTCAAATATGGCTTTATACTATGAAGATATATATTCACAAAGTCATGCGTACTGTTTTGGTTTCTGTGGATGGTATATTTTGTAGAAAGAAAATTGTTAAACCCTGATCATCCAAGAAAATACATAGTAGAGGCAGATGACTTAGAAGCTAAGAAGAGGAAATACAAAAAGAGCAAAGGATGGGGAAGAAAGAGAAGAGAAAGTTGGTCCATAATACCCCTCCTTCAGTCAAGTGTGCAAAAATCAGCAAGCACGCAGTTTAACTGGCTTTCTGATGAAAACTAGCAAGGAGCTGAGCTCTATAACCTAGTTGACTTGGGTATGAAATAGAAGCAACACACTTATAACCCAGGTGTAAATAATGCTTAATTTCTAGGTTCTATAATAGGTAGGGGCTGGAAGACATTTTTAACCAGCTCCTGGGAAGATTCTAATGTAGATGGTCTGAATTAGAGAAACATTGCAAACATTAGAGAAACAAAACATCTTTTGTTAAGTATTTATTAAGAGTAAATCTGGGAGAAGAGTCAAACACGAACAGAATTATATGGTAAGCTCAATAAGCTCAGTGTTTTATCATGGGTTCACTGAGGAAATGCTTCTAACCCATTGGTTTCCTAAAGTAGGAGATTTCTTAGTTGAGTTTTAAAGGATAAGAAGGATGTAGTCAGATGAAAATGATGGCTGGAGGGGTATCCCAGGCCTTGGACCTGATGAGCTAAAACACAGAGGTGACAAACAGCATGTGTGTTCATGTCTCTGGAGAGTCAAGCGGGAACCAAATGGTGAGAGATGAAGTAGGAGAGGTATGCAGAAGCCACACCAAGCACCCTGGACTTCTGTAGGGTAGGATTTGGAGTTAGGGGGTGGTGGTAGTAGAAAACAAGGTAGATTTGCTTGTTAGATCACTGGTGGCCGAAGGGAAATGAACACATGGACAAGAAGATTGTGAAACCACATCAAATCATTAGGAGTTCAAGAAATCAAAGCAGCAAATGGACAATGATTTGAAAATTCTTGTTTAAATGTTTTCACTGTCACAGTCTGCATTTGAGTGACTCAGACAAAATAGTCATTGAAGAAATGAAAGAGTAAAGGCTTGCCTTCTGAGTCAGGTATTTCTGCATAGTTCATGACACCTAATGGGTGTTCAAGATGACCCACCTGGGTTACTTAGGCTAAGTAACCACAAATGTCCCTGATTCCAAATAACACCATAAATAGGGTCTCTAATGTTTGTACTTAGGGTTTTTATTAGCTCAGTTCATTATTCCTTTGACAGTTAAATGTATTATAAACCAAATCATCAGAGATCATAACAGCATCATTTCACTTTTATTTACACTACCAAAGTAGGGCTGAGGCAAGTGTTGAGGTTGAAAATGTTCCATCTGCAGAGCTATCAACATAGTAAGTCTTAGAGCATTTCTCCTTTAAATATGTAATCTTCATGAAAAGAGGGAGCTTGTCTGGCACTCAGCAGTAATTATTAAATGGATTAATGAATTGCCCCAGAATGTGCTGTCTGTAGCATGAATGTTGACTGAGGTGTTCACATTGCCTTTTATTGCACAGTGCTCTGGAAGCCTTAATTTTTTTCTGACTTAAAAAAAAAAAAAGGTGTTTTGTTTGTCAGATATTTACCCTGACGATGCTATTTAACGGTTGGCTGACAGTGGTTCTTGTTGCTTTTGAACATTTGAAACGGCTGCTTGGAATCCGACAATGATGATTATGGTGTTATTTAACGCCCAGCACAAATACTCGGATTAGAGAGGGGGCATTTTTAATTGAGGCCACGTTCCTTCAGTTTGGCAAAACTCAGCTGAAGTTACAGTACTCGCTGACGATGGGTTAGGGGGATAGATTTTGTCTGATCCTAATTGTGGAGAAACGGGAAGCCTCGGGATTAAAACTAAACTCCCATTCCGCAGGGGAGTTTCTCAAGAAGAAAAGTGTTCTGCTGCATAAAATTATTGGCTCCCTTTGTGTTTACACCGTGGCAGAAATTATTGTTCGTGTAGGTGACCCAGTAGTTTGTGGGGCGAGTAGTAGTGTGTGGAAAGGAGACGCAGAGACGGCATGACAGAACTGCTACAGAGCTATTTCTCTTTCCTGCCAAACCGTCTTTTATTTTTAGACAGCACCAAAGGCGGAGAGGAAGGCGTCCTGCCCTACTCCCGGCCGTTTGAAAATGCCAGTTTGCCTACTCGAGTTAGCGTTTAGTCAGAAAGGGCGAAGCACGCCGGCCTCGCCCGCCAAGTTCCGCCCTTTGTCCCTTCCGCCTCCCTATTGGCTGGGGCCGCCGTGGCCCCGCCCCCTTCCGTGGGGCCCGGAGCCTCCCGCGAGCGCACGTGGCTCTGTGACGCAGGCCCCGGCGTCTCCGCGGGTATAAAAGGCCCGCGGACCCGCGGTTTGCTTCAGGAGCCGCCGGCAAGGGGGCAACGAGGAAGCTTTCTAGAGCGTAGCCGGGAAGGAGAAGGTGGGGCGAGAAGGGAGAGAAGACATAGCCTGCGGCCGAGGGGCAGTTACGCCCTCGGGGCTTCTCGCGTGCTGGGAGAGGAGGATGAACCTCAAGTGTCTGGGAAGGCAGAAGGTCCCCAGAGGGGAGACCTGCGGGAGGGACCGGCCCACACCCGCCAGTGCGGCGCCGGGCTCTAGGGGGCCGACGCGGAATCCGTACGCCGCGTCTCCCACCCACACTTCACTGTCCTCCCAAACAAACTGCAAAGCAGTCAGTGACGGCGGGGCCCGCAGACCCCAGCCGAGGTCTTTAAGGGAGTGAGTGGTGTGAGCCACTTATTTTCGTTTTTGTGGCTCCGAAGTCCCCACTCGCTTCCTCAGAGGCGTGGCTTTCTTGCCCAGCGTCATGCCTGTGGTAGTGGGTAAATGGAAGTTGACAATTTGGCGCTGGGCTGGGGAGGGTTTAAATTTTTTTGACAGGTATTCTTGAAGAGATTTGGGGAGAATTACTAAGCTGTCACTTTTAAACGTCCCTAACGTCTGTATTTGTGACGGTGCGTTTTACCTGTTGGTAGTCGTCCTTGGTGTCACAGTATTTGTCAGCTTGCTCAGGATGGTTCTTTGGGTCGATGTTCAGCATCCCTGGTCCTCACACGTTCCCAAAGCGGGGTGAGATAGGGCAGGAGCGAGGGAGCGCGGACTGCGAGGCCTGGCCGCTGTTCCCGCAGTTGGTCGCTCTGTCCCCCTGCTGGCTCCTGCCCTCAATTTCCAAAACAGCCTACTACTCATCTAGGGGGACTTATTAAAAAATTATTTTTATGTACAGTGTATGTATGTGTAAGTGTATCTGTCATACATATTATTACTGCCTACGTCCCTTAGCGTTTAGCATGGGGGCCTGCCAAAGTTGTGCTTCTGATTATGTCAAATGGTTTAAGTAAAGCTCCTGTTGAATGATACTCTGATAGGAAGTTTTTATTAAAGTACACTTAATTATAATATATTCTGAAAGGGCTTTCTTTGGGCAATACAGATTCATTTTGTCCTGACATGTTTTTGGGGGGAAGATGAAATGTATTTGTTAAAAAATATATTCAACATTTTTCTATGACACATTACTTTATGTTAGAAGCTGGCCCCTTGTCTGATTGTAACTAAACTGTGCCACTTGGCCCCATGAAACTTGTTACTCACTTTACCCTGGGGATGTTGTTGAGGACATGGTTCATTATATCACACTCTTCTCTTTAGAAGGACCCACGGGAGAAATTTCTCCTGGGTCTCAGCATCTAGAAAAGCTGTGATTCTCCCAAGCAACTGATTTTTCTTTTTTTTTTTTTTTTTGGTCACCTCAGGAAACCTGAATCATTTACCCTCTGTTTCCTATCTTGTGATGGCTGCTTGGTAGCTCAGGGACTGATTTGATACCCATCTCTATCATGGTGAAGGACCTGTTGCTTCATTGTGGTGCTAACTTTACCTGTGGCTTCATCCTATTTTTCCTATCATGTTTTTTCCCTTACCACTGAATGGATTTCCTTAAATATTTAATTTTGTTTCTTCTATGTATTTATAAGCCTTAGATAATTTTTTAGAATGAGACAGAGCACACACACAGTTTTGGGTGACAACCTTTGCAACTCTGAGAATTACAGGTTGGATTGTGCAATATACCCTTGGTACCATTAAAAGCCAGAAAGGCAGAGAAAGAGGAGGACTTAAGGGAAAATCAGGACAGGTTAAGGAAGGACATGAAAAAAGAAAGCTGCCTGTCATGGTGAGTGGTATAATAATGCCACGAATAACTATGCCCATTTTGATTGTTAAAAACAAAATTAAATTCAAAGCTAAAAATGTATACTTAAAGATGAGCAATGTGTCTGAGGATATATTTAGAAAAATGAAGGGAAAAAAGACATTTTTATCTTCAAGAAACACAATTTTGTAACTCTCTATTTGATGAATTACAGACAAGCCAGTGCCTGTGTGGTTTGGGAGGACATTGTTTGAAAACAGATACATGAGCTTAATTTATCTTTCTTGAAATGTAACTACAGAAAATATTCACTGAATTTTACAGAAGCAGATTTTGTTTTTGTTGTTCTTTATTTGATTTTAATATCATCCTGCGGGGCTCGGCCAGGCCTCTTCCTAAGGATTTCTTTAATAGTACTGTATTACTCATCTTCACATAGTAAGCTATTAGGGTGGTTCTTTTAAAAAAAAATTATCAAGAATAAGCCTGTTTTACTAGAATAAATACCTAGAGATTAGAACTAAAGCTAAGAATTTTAATAGGAAATAGGCTTGTTCTTAGAAAACCATAGTTAGCTGGCAAGAAATATGTTAATAAAAAACTAATATACTATTTATAAGACTTTGTTTTTCTTTGTTATAGCTAAGATTTACAGACATCCTGCCAAAATGTTTTCTTCAAAGCCCAGACTTGTCGTACCTTATGGCCTCAAGACTCTGCTCGAGGGAGTTAGCAGAGCCATTCTCAAAACCAAGCCACCGAATATCACCCAGTTCGCAGCAGTTTATTTTAAAGAACTTATTGTGTTTAGAGAAGGTTTGTTATTGCTTTAGATTATATATTTGTTGCTTTGAAAAAGAAAACATTTTAAATTGGTATTTTATGTGTATCTGTATTTGATTTCCTGTATTTATTCCTTCAGGGAATACTTCTCTGGATATAAAAGATCTGGTTAAACAATTTCATCAGGTTACAGGTAAGTGTCATGAGTGGTGATAGTTTTAATAATGCTGGTTATAAATTACTGCATACATTCAAACTTAAGAATGATGCCCACAAATATTTTTTGTTTAAATGATAACACTGATTTTTTTATTATTAAATCAGTTTTTTAAAAAAAACCTGAGGATTGACATTTTGGAGGATTCCAAATCTTAGAAAGAAATAAGAAAAACTCATCTCTTACAAACCATTTGGTACAGTGAATATATATGAAGACCTACATTATTTAGGAAAATTGTTTAAACACTTTTTTTTTTCTCACTTTGTTGCCCAACCTAGAGTGAGTGCCATGGCATCAGCTTAGCTCACAGCAACCTCAAACTCCTGGGCTCAAGCAATCCTCCTGCCTCAGCCTCCCAAGTAGCTGGGACTACAGGCATGTGCCACCATGCCCAGCTAATTTTTTCTATATATATAAGTTGACCAATTAATTTCTTTCTATTTATAGTAGAGACGGGGTCTTGCTCTTGCTCAGGCTGGTTTCGAACTCCTGACCTCAAGCAATCCACCTGCCTCGGCCTCCCAGAGTGCTAGGGTTACAGGCATGATAAACACTATTCTTAGAAGACTTTTTTAAAAGTTATTTTTAAGGAATTATTTTAAGGAAAAGGTTAACCACCCATATTTTTTCCCCTGGTGTTTAACTGCAGTCCAGGCTGGAGGACAGGAGATCAGTTAGGTGTCTCTGACCATACTTTCTGCTCCAAGAGTCTGCATGTAAAAGGAGATAAGTTTTTCATCGAGAATGCTCTCCTCCAGCATATCTCAGGCACTGTGACATAGTGCTATATATTTGCTTAGAAGAAAATTGTGTTTTGTGTGTATATGTGTAAATAATCTAATAGTGACTATCACAGCATGAAACTGAGTTGACATAGGAGCAATGAAAAATTCAGGGGGTGGATATAAGACAAGGCAAAGTTTACATAGTGAATATTTGGGATCACTGTATAGTCAAAACTAAGAACAGGCATACATGTCTAATGGCAAGAAAAAGCTTTTCAAAGAATTTTGTGAAGAAGGGAAAATGGAGACTCAAGGTTAGTGTGGCAAATAACTGAAATAATTCTTATTCCATTACCTGATCTGCATTTTCAAGTGATCACAGAGAAAGAAAAGGTAGAATTCAGTGAGTTGTCAGCCACTTTTGGGCTGTCACTTGGTGATGTTAATATATCTATTCACATAACATAACATAACCAAGGTGGGATAAATTAGGAGTAAGACCTAATAAAATGTAAAAATCATAAGGGTTTGGGTTTACAGTGAAAGAGATATCCAAAAGAAAAAGCGAGGTTAAGAATAGCAAGGGTCAGCTTTTGAAGGGGGGGGTAGGAGAATGAAGTGCCATGGTTCAGGAATATTTTATTGTCTAGACTAGCTGCTTCCCTACAGGAACTAAAGGCATTCATAGTTCACCATGAGAAACAGGTCTGAGACTTGCTTACCCCAGCAATAGGATATACAGACAAGTGCAAGAATATTAACCACTCTTCTCTCCCCATGAGCCCAGTTTCCCAGGTAGTCAAGGTGGTGGTTGTCCATGTACCTCTGTCTCCTATACCAGGCATGCTGTGTTTGAAAGTATTGGGAGTGTGCAGGCATACTATGTTTGAGAATGGTGATGAAGTCAGTGAATCTTTATAGTGGAAAGTAACTAACTGATAGCTTTTGAGTTTACTTTGTTTACTGATGTGGGTTTGGGTCCAGGTAGGTCTTTGAATCTCACAGTTCAAAATTCATAGACTAACAAAATTAATGGAGCAGCCATATTTTTGATGGAGATAGGGGTAGGAGATACTATTGCTTTTCCCCTCTAATAACTGAAGATACCAAGGAAATTGATGCAGCATACAGATAATCTTGAAAGCAAACTCAGAGTATGGTGAAACAGTTTGCTTTTTAGGCAGTAGAGTAGAAATGAACATTGCTTGTTCTCATTTGTTATACTAGGGAGATGGGAAGGTAACATGAGGTATGACCAAAAAATATAGAATTCGATGGTACTGTTTAATATCAGTTTGATGTATTTGTCTTTTGTCATCTCAAGTGGTTTCTTACTGGTCAAACAATATCCGTTAACTTGCGTTGTCTCATAGACACTGCATGAATCTATCTAAAGAGCGACTATCTAGGGATATACAGGCACCATAGGTTCCCATTTGGTAGAGCATTTCCTCCTGAGTGGTATACTCCTACCTACTGATTGGTTTAAATCCCTATCTGCTGTTTCTGTGGGAGCTGTGGGTAGAGTTGGTTGAATGGTGGTTCAGATCTGCACAGTAAAAATGTAGGTATAACAGTTGGCAACTTCTATGTCATTCAAAGAGAACTTCCCTTTTGTAGATCCCAATTTTAAATATGGATGGTGGTATGTATAGTACTCTACATGCTCTATCAGTTGGCCCCAAAGATTGAGGCCCTCCTAGGCTTTCAATGACTTGCAAGATGAAGAAATTAATCATTCTTTGACAACTAAGTCAACTGACCTTTATTCTGGTTTCTCAGTCCCTTCAGCATGAAGTGAGATCAGCCTAAAGACAGTACCAGGTATTAGAACTTGATGATGTGGGCAAAAGCTAACTGCACCCTTAGTGCACTGTTGCTCCTTCATCTCCCATGTATCGAATATGAGCATGAAAGACGTGTTTCAGAAGAGTTCTCAGTGGGGATGTCGTATCCTACCTATAGAGTTATTCCCAAACTAGGGAGATGGGAAGGTAACATGACGTATGACCAGGTAATATGAGGTATATGAGTTTGCAGCCGACAGGATTACTACCAAGCTGCCTATATGCATGGAAGGCATGGAAACAAGAACATCCCTGCACATATCACTTGTTTTTGTTAAACCCTTCATTCTGGGATTTTTTTCCTAGAAAGAGCCCCGTTTTTTGGTCAGCCTCATCATAGGACCAGTAGTGTTAATCCTTCTCCCCAGTGACCTCAAAACTTCAGGCACAGTCAGGTGATAGAGGAGAAAGGAGAAAAATAAGTAGACATGGGAGCAAACTGTTTTCACTTGTCGTCTTATCTTTTGCCCCATTTTCCAGAGCCATCCTAAAGATGGTCCTTGGCTCTATCCAGGGCCTTCGTTGTGGCATTTCTCCCACATAGGCTCATTTCCAAAGCAGCTCATCTTTTGAAGCCTTTTCTTGGTACCTTCTCTTGTTTTTCTGCAATTTGATTAGATCCTTACTACCATATGAATCAGTGAAAGTCCCCCCATTTCTCAGTCTTCTCAGGAGTTTCTTCATTAATCCAAATGAATCTTTAATTGATGGTATTTTAGAAACTTCAATACTTTAAGGCAAAAGAGTCATTCTCTTAAATCCCACCACTTAATATATGCTAGGAAAAGGAGGAAGGAATGGAATTAATATTTATCAACTGTTTTGTCCTAGACACTTGTAATATATTTTGTCAGTTACTTCAGACAACCTTAGGTCAGTTTAGGGATTATGGTAATCCAATTCCTAAATTGGCTGGGTTCTTGAAAATTCTAATGGTAAGTAAATCAGGGGTTGGAGAATTTAAGAGCTTGGGGGGTGGATAGAAAAATAGAGAGGCCTTGATATAGGTATGGGTGTTAGGAGGTCAGTCTAGTTAGGAGTTGGGCTTGGGTTTTGTTGTTGCTCTGATTACCTTCACTGTACCACAGGCCCCAAATTCTTCTAGCAGAGGACCACTGAAGCTTTGTGCTTAGGGTGGGCCTGGAGTGCTGGAGAGTGTTTCTCAGGGTCTGTGCTTCCCCCTCAGCTTTCAGCCTTGCCTGCTTTTCTGCTGTCCCACAGATGGCATCTCTCTCTGTGCTCTTGTCCCTCATCTGGTGACAGCCTACATTCTGTGACTCAGTGCTGGGTTGGTGGGCAGGGCAGGAGATTCCCTATGGTTCTGTGCCAGCCTCAGGCCTAGGCTGGCCATATGCACCTGGCCTTTTGGAGGTGGGGCTTTCTCAGTGTTCCTGCCATCCATCCATCCTTGTGGCAGCCAAACTCTGCCTTGCATCTGTGGTTAGTCTCAGGCCAGTGTCTCCTGTCTCTTCCCCAACAGTATGAGACCTCTGGTGTTGGTATAGGATCTGTCTCTCCAGCTGCCTACCTTACTCCCATCTTTTCATGGGAGGCCTGTGGAAAAGTGCTTGAGTAAGTGAACTCTCCTTGGGTCTGGATATCTGGGCTATTCCATACTGACATTGTAGCCCACCTTTGGCCTTTACCAGTACATTAAGATTATAACTGATACCTTCTTACCAGCTACTGTGATGGCATTGCCTTCTTCCTGGGTCCTGCCACAGCTGAGACTATTCTTGTGTCCCTTCTCTCCTTAGAGGGGTTTGTTCCTCTTTGGAAATAAGGTTACTTGGTTACTTTTTGACCCTAGCTCTTTGCTAGACTCAAGAAAAGTTATGATTTTGTGGTTTATCTGGCTTTTGTTATGGTGAGAGCAGTATTTTTTGTAGCTTTCTATGTCCTAAGCATAAGAGTAAAGGTCAGGTTTATTTTAAAAAGATTATTTCCCACCTCTGAACTCCCAAGATCTTTATTAGTACCATTATTAGGTACTTACACTTTTTTACCTATATTATTTGTATACTTGTCTTATCTCCCCTACAGAATGGAAGCTATATGAGATCTCATCTTAATCTTTCTATCCTCAACAGTGCCCAGTACAGTGTTTTACGCATAGCACAAGCTCTAAGTCAAAGGTATTGGGGGGTAAAGGACTTTGTTAAAAAAGTAGGTTAGGAAGTCCTGAAGAAGTGAATGGTTAGGAAAATGAGGTTATTGTTCTAAGCAGAGGGAGATAAGAGTAGGATGTAGCTTTTCTATTTTTTTGAAACTTTTCTCTGCACATGAGCATTTGGTGTGATGTCCATGTTCAGAATTAAGACACTTTAATTGAATTTACAAGAAATTGGCAGCCAATGTAGTGGGAGATATTGAAGGACACTGCTCTTTGAGATACAGCTGAACCTATGAAAATATGTCTCTAAACAAAGTTTTGACTTGAACCAAACACATTCTTATAAAGCAAATTGTGATATTAGAAATGTGTCCCCAAGAGAAAATCCTTAGTAAGCAGATGAGTAACAAGAAGGTGGTTGGACAGGCATGTGGGTGATAAGCACAGAGTTTTCCAGGCTCTAGGACTTTGTATATGTCATGAGCTGTCTTGATCTTCCAGGCCATGGGAATTTTCCTCATGCCTAAAGGTTCACTAAGGTCTACACTTTCATATCCAGAGATCTTTCTTTTCATCTTGTCTGGGTCAGTATGACTTTGGCTGCATGATGACACCTTGCTAGCAGGTACTATCATTTTTAGGTTAGAATATATGCTATTTCCTAAGGTAAAAAAATCATGTAGTGGCTGGGTGCAGTGGTTCATCCCTGTAATCCTAGCACTCTGGGAGGTGGAGACAGGCAGATCGTTTGAGCTGAGGGGTTCGAGATCAGCCTGAGCAAGAGCGAGACCCATCTCTACTAAAAAAAATAGAAAGCAATCAGCTAGACAACTAAAAAATATATATATATTAAAAAGCTGGGCATGGTGGTCCTGGCTACTCAGGAGGCTGAAGCAGTAGGATCACTTGAGCCCAGGAGTTTGAGGTTTGCTGTGAGCTAAGCTGATGCCATGGGACTTTAGCCTGGGCAACAGAGTGAGACTCAGTCTCAAAAAAAAAAAAATCATGTAGTTCCCTAGTTTACCAATTCATTAAGTTAAACTTTGTATACCAATTTTCTTAAATTAAGGAACGCCTTTATTAATGTGTTAGCATCTTTGTCATTATTAATACACCAGCTAAAGATTAGATAATCTATTGCCCAATTCACTCTTTGTTTCTTCTTCTTCTCTCCCCAGTTTTGTGTGGAAGTTTGGATCAGGAGCTTTGTCCATAGAAGTTTTCAGCTTCCTTATTTCTAGGCAGAGTTATGATCTTTCCCCTAATGCTGACTGGCTTAGGATGGTATCTGATTATTACTTTTGCCTCTGCTATTTGGAGTCACTTATTTCTAGGGAAATGAACTGAAGGTCTTGGAGTGAATAAGGACAGGGAAGTTTCATTACCCACACTAAATCACAGATGTTAGAAAGTAAAGCAAAAAAAAGTCTCGTACTTGTGTTTATGTTGACATTTGAATGCTCAACCTATTGCTTTAACATTCTTTTTGGGGGTTATATATGCTGATTAACCTATCTGGCTGTTATTTTAGTAGAGAAGTGGTCAGAAGGAATGATACAAGGGAAGAAACCGGAATGTGTAAAAGAACTTGGAGGAACATCTGCAGTTTCTCAAGCGCCTACACGGATGGAAAAATCTACAGACACAGAGGAGGACAATATAGCTGGACTACTATTTAGCAACAAAACCACTCAGTTTCCATCAGTTAATGCTGAGTTCTTAGAGTCTGAGAGCACACCTGAAGCAGTTTGTGGTCCGTCTTCTAAACCAACCACCCCTAAGACTGCTAGCCCACCCTCATCACCACCTCCAGCAGATGTCTCTCCAGAGTATGCCTATGTCCCAGCTGACCCAGCTCAGTTTGCTGCTCAGATGTTAGGTAAAGTTTCATCTACTCATTCTGATCAATCTGACGTTTTAATGGTGGATGTGGCAACCAGTATGCCTGCTATCAAGGAGGCACTGAGCTCAGAGCCTGATGAAGATGTCATGGTGGCCTCTTCTGAGTATTCTAGAGAGGTGGTAGCAATGCGGGTTGTAGATTCGGGTCCTAAACCTAAAGGCGATAAGGCTGAACCATCAACGGCTTCCTCATTCCCCTTGCAGGATGAACAAGAACCTCCTGCTTACAATCAAGCTCCTGAGGTCTCTTTTCAGGCTGAGAGTAAGGTTACATCAGCCGTTTGTATATCATCTGTCTATAACAATCAGCCTGTGATTGGAGGAGTTGTTTATGTTGAGCAAATGCCAGAACAAATACTTATCCCCTTTTCTGATCAAGTTGCTTGCCTTAAAGAAAATGAGCAGTCACCACCAGTTAGTTCCAAACCTGTAGTACAAAAGACAACCTCAGGCACGTCTAAAAAATCTGTAGAGTCTGTAAAACTTGTACATGTGGAGGAGAAGGCAATATATGATTCCTCAGTACATGTGGAGGCAGAAGCTACAGTTCTGCTCTCTGACACTTATGTGAAAGATCTGCCTGAGGTAGCTGCACAATCCCTGGATGCAGAGGGCTCCATCAAAATAGGCTCTGAAAAATCTCTGCACCTTGAAGTGGAGATCATTTCGATGGTCGATGAAAAAACTGGGCAGGAGGAGGCAGGGGAAAACTCTGCACCCTGGGAGAAGGAGGTCAAACCTGGGGAAGAGGCAGATTTTCCAGAAGGTCTCAGTGCACCAGAAGAGGAAGCAGCACCTGACAAGGTTTGATGAAGCAAGGTAAGAAAATTAGATACTTATACAGTTACAAATTGCATTTCAGGTGACATCTGTATTTCAGATAACCATCTCTGTAGGCTCCCCGCAGACTGGTCAAAATCTTTATTTTCAATAGTTTTTTTAGAAATGCCAAACCTATTTAAAGGCTATGTTGCATTTGAGATTTTACTATTACGAGATGAGTGATTTTAAAGTGACATCCCCAAAGTTTGGCCTCTAAGTTTCATCATCTAGCACTTTTGTGTTATTCTTTTGGAAATATTATACAGCGAGCAACACTATATAGCTTGTTGTGAGGTACAAAATATATTCTTGTGATCTGAATGTTCCTATTGCAAAACTGTAATTAGGGGGTGTTGGTTTGAAATTTCTCACCTGTGAATGTAAAATTGAACTACAACAATGCAATTATATAGGCTGTGGCATTTTAAAAAGTGAAAGAAATGGTGGTGTGTTTGACTGCTTTCGCACTGAGTCAAGAGAGCTCTGCAAGCAGGTTTGGGGTGCCAGGCCAAGCATTGATTTCCTGTCCAGGAGCTTCCTGCAGCTGAGGGAGCAGCTTCATAGCTGGATGGAGAGAGGAAAGGTCAGGTCAAACTTCTGTCACACAGGGCAGCATGGTGGTAGCAGCAGCAGCAGCAGAAAGGATGGTTAGACACTTAAACAATGGATGTAGTTCAGATGATTGGCTTCCTTCCATCAGTTCCCCAACAAGTGCCAAAATCAGGCTGCTTTCTCGGCTGCTGAACTGTCACCATGTTTTCTTGTGACACAGATATGATGTGACCTCCATCTCAATCTAGTTATATGGCATTTGGTCTGCTCACTCTCATGCCTCACATAGATACTTGCAGGGGCCGTTCTCTTTTTAGGGATGGAAGGGACATGCATGAGCCAATCCCCCCATTCCTTTTGCAAAAACTCTCTCAACCCTGACTCTTACCCAAGCCAGAATGATAAAGAAGGGTTACCTAAGCAGGTGTTTACAAAAGATCAAATTCTGTCTGGCAGTGTGACAGGGATTCTGCACAGCTGAAAAGGCAGAGGGCAGTGTTGGGATTGTAGCATGTGGGACTGGCATCAGACTTATGGCTTAAGTAGCACTTCCAGACCAAGTTACTGTTTTCAACTGTTTAACTGTTTCTAAAGTAAAATAGAGTTGTCCTCAGCACTGAAAGGATATTTGACCAAAAGAAAAAAAAAAACTCAGATTGAGTTCAATCTCTCAAACTCTTTCTCTTTGAAAAAACTGAAGGACTTGGCTTGTATGTATTTTTTACTAAACTTGAAGAAAGATCAGTTGAAAGTACCCGAAGCTATTGAAAACATGTCAGTTTAATCATGCGCATAGTGTTATTTTCTTTTCTGGGGAAGGAAAAAAGGCTGCACTGGGGATAGATGGCCCAGTGTTCAAAGGCAAACTCAGCACATTTGGGCAAAGTGAAATTCCTCCACAGGCACCTTTTCTCCTAGGTCCCATCTTCTGGGATTCAGTTCTCCAAGATACTACCATCTTCATTGGGCAGGTCACACTTGGTATTATAGACTCCTTGGTGTAAGTGGATGGATGGCATTCCTAGACCTCCTTTTTTCTTAACCCCTGTGGGACCAACCAGCCTCTTACTGCCACCTAGGACTTATGATGTCAAGCCTTGCCTAAAAGGAGTGCTCTCTGGAGTTCTGAGTCCTAGATTATGTGATATTTTATGTGTTGAGACAAATGAATGGGAGATAATGGTGCCTGTGAAGGACCAGAGATACTAGATTATGTGATCAAGATGACACCTAGTGCTGATTTCTTTAGGAAAGAAAAGTCACTATGCAGATGCATTAACACTTTTTCTCAGTGGCTTTAATGCACTATTCAATTGATTTTTTTGGGGGGGGGGGGAAAGCCAAAAGTTTTTTTTAACTATTCAGTTCCTTTCTGAGGATCTTGTAGAAGCCATGTCTAAAGGTGAAGTAGCTGGAAACAGCAACTTAGAATGAGATTGTTGCTTCAGCCACAACTGTAGTGTCCCTGCCACTTGCTGTCACAACAGTCTCCTCATTTTCCAACTGTAGAGAATCTCGCCTTTCACATTACCAAACACTATTTAGTTCTCTCTATAGCATGCTTTATGGCACATATTACAGTTGTTTATTTATATGTAAAAAAAGATTTACAAAGACATTACTGTGCATAGCGCCTGATACAGAGACCAAACCTTTAATGCCTGCAATTTTTTTTTTTTATAGCAATAGCAGCAAGCGAAGCAGGACAACCACCACCATATTCTAACATGTGGACCCTTTATTGTCTAACTGACATGAATCAACAGAGTCGCCCATCACCACCACCTGCACCTGGGCCTTTCCCCCAGGCAACCTTCTATTTATCTAATTCTAAGGATCCACAGTTTCTGCAGCATCCACCAAAAGTCACTTCTCCAACTTATGTGATGATGGACGACAGCAAGAAGACCAGTGCCCCCCCTTTTATTTTAGTAGGCTCAAATGTTCAGGAAGCACAGGAATGGAAACCCCTTCCTGGACATGCTGTTGTTTCACAGGCAGATGCCTTGAAGAGATATGCTGCAGTACAAGTGCCCATTGCTGTCGCTGCAGATCAGAAATTCCAGAAACATACCCTAAATCCTCAGAATACTAGTCCTCCTACAAGTGGAAAAGATGTCCCCAGACCACAAAGCCCTGTTTTTCTTTCTGTTGCTTTCCCAGTAGAAGATGTAGCCAAAAAAAGTTCAGGATCTGGTGACAAATGTACTCCCTTTGGAAGTTACGGTATTGCTGGAGAAATTACCGTGACTACAGCCCATGTTCGCAAAGCAGAAACTTAAAACTGGTAGGTAAATTTTCCTACCATAATATGTGGGCCTTAACACACTTGAGTTTTCAGCATTTTGTTGACCTGAAAATTGAGATATTTAAAACAATTAAATTAATATGTAATGAGTTGGGGTATACTCTAATTTGATGTGGTTATTGTCTCCATGTTTACCACCATTACCAATAAACACACAGGTGCGCAGCACCACAGTGACTCACACCAAGGGTTTGGTGCCCAATACATGAACCAGCCAAGCCATCAACTCAGACAACAGACCAGGTGAAAGGTGACTAACACTGTGGTAGATGCTAAAGAGGGATGGATTTTTAAAAAGGACAAGACAGTCTAGTTGGCATGTTTAACCACTTCGGTACGTACGAGCGTCGACTTTAGCCGACAGCCGTGATAAGGCCTTTTCTAATTTTTCATGTATCAAAATAAAATTGTGAACATTAAAAAAAATAACATAATAAAAACATATACGTATATGTTACCTATTCTGATTTGCATTACAAGTAAAGCTGCCTGTAAAGTAAAACAAGCTTTCAGTGGTTTAAAGCTTTCCTCATCACACAAGAGCAAAACAGATTCATCGTCAATGCACAGCACAAACCATCGTGCGGACTATGAATGCCGGCTGTGGGCAAGGTTTCGTGGCCGGTGAGCGCCATACCGAAGTGGTTAAGGAATGGGGAGGAGCAGAGACAATAGCTGGGAACAACTGAGAGCAAGGTAAGAGACAGTAGCATGGACAGGTTGGGAACACATTAAAGGGACAACTGAATATAACTATAGATAAGACAGTTTTATCACAAATCATTTTAAAATTTTTCATTCAACCAGTGACTTAATGCTAAACCCTATGCTAGTCCCATGTGTGGACAGTGTGAGCAAAACATGGAACCTCTACCTTAGTGGGGAAACAGACAAAAAAATACAATACGTGAAGTGTTACGAACAAGGTATTGATACAGGCCTCCTTTAATAGTTACTGTTAGATAGGGTATTCAGGTGTGGATGTAAACTGACACCTGAGCGTGCAAAGGGAGCAGCCTTGTGAAGAGCTTCCCAGGTCGTGTTCTATGGCAGGAAAGAGCGGGAGACTGCAAGTAGGCCAGTGACGGTGGGGGGGGGGTAAAGTGCAGACGGCATCCCAGCATACCAAAGATAGATTTGGATTTCAATGGTAAGTCAGCACAAATGTTTTAAGCAGAAGAATGATACAATCAGATTCATGGTTTTATTAGACCCCCTGGCTGCTATGTGGAAAATGAATTAGAAGTCAGGAAGAGGTCAACAGAGGAAGCAGGGAGACAAATTAAGAGTATATAATTCAAGTGTTATATACCAACAAGTTCAGTTAAAACAATTTCTGGGAATTTTAAGCTGAACATCTGAGGGATGGGCAAAAGTTAGATTTCATTCATAGGCAGGCTCAAGTACTACAGTTACCATATTTAAGGAAAGCTGTTTTCAAAATATCTCAGGGCTATTGCACTTATTCATCCCCTTTATGGACTTTTAGTGGACTTGTCAAAATGGCTGTTTTCAGCATGGAATTACTAGTATATTTTTGTGTAAAAGCACAGGTAACTAAGAGCTTAGTAATAGTGCAGGAAGGTGTATACCTTGCATTTTTGATCTTCCACTGAATTCACATGTTCAGTTTAATGATTAAATTTAAACAATTCAATGTTTACATTATTTCTAACAGATCCTGAAAATGACGCTGTTTGAATCAACATTCAAGGTGGAGTTGGCCACCAAGCGTAATATAGCAATAAACTTCATGCAAGCATAAAACCTTGTATTGCTTATTTTTATAACTTTAGGAGGCATATAAACCACCAAACACAAAGGGCCTTAAATCATTTTAGATCTGTGAAGCAATAACATTTTCCAAACTATGCATAATTTTTTTTTTAAAGCATTCCCACTCCAACAGATCTAGTCATGAATTTTCTAGCGAGGTATTCCAACTTCATAATTCTGTATTTGGCACTCACACTACAGCACCTCTCTATAATACTCTATCTGCCCACATCTCATTGTGCATGCCAGGTAGCTGGTTAGCTCTTTGCCCTTGGGGACTGTGGCATCATAAAAAGACACTTTTGATAATTTACAATAGTATTAAGTGGCAACATTAGCGTATTTGAAATTTTAAAAGAAACCACACTTTTCTGGAACATTCTAAAGCCTTTATTTAGCATCAGGTAGATTATTATTTCATTATAACACTTGTTAACTTCAGGACAGCAATTAAAATAATTTACTGGCAGCTACCTAAGGCCCCTTGGAGCAGTATCTCAGTCTGGAGTTTGGTAGATAAATACTATAAGATTAATGTACCCCAATTAAAGGGGCAAAGCTCTACTGTACAGTAGACCTCCATACATATTTTAAGTACACAGGTGCCTTGCAAACTTGAAATGCACAGACCTCCTTTTATATAATTTGATACTTATAAATACATACATGAGTGCAACTTAATTTCTCTGGTGGCATTTGCCACTGGAAGTTGAAGCATTTAAAAAGGTTATGTAATGGTGATTAAAATCTATATTTCTAGGGCATTTTGTGAATTACTAGATTTTATACATATTTTCAGTTAAAATATACAATTTAAACTTATTATGACACTGATTATAGAAAATTGTAAAGGGAAATTCAGAGCACTAAAATAAATACTTTTCCAGTTTAACTCTTTAGAATTTTCAAATCAGGAATACCTAACTCTGAATATTCAGGCATATTTTCTTTTTGGAGCTTGAAAGGGGTAAAATTGAGAGGATCAGTATGAATAAAAGCCTTCTTGTCAATGGAGTCTTTACAAACAATGACATAACCTCTACATTTGAGCACATAAACATTGTATAGGAGAATTCTAAACATTTCAAAGTTATATCTAGAACATTCAAGCATGACAGCATAAAAATATTCAAAATAACTTGATTTGGTATTACTATATAATTCCATAAAGCTAAAGTTACATTTAGATATAAACCTTCAGTAAATATGGCAACAGCAACCATAAAAAAAGCATATTCTCCAGCAGTTCCTCTTACCTCTATATAAAATAGTATTCCAAATAAGCACATTTTATAGCAAAATTATGCATTTTTCCTAAGACTTTCATCACCAGTATTACCTAGGCCCTACTTCTGTTGGGTGAAATGCAAGTTATCTCATGAGTAGGTTTTTCATTTTTAAAAGATGAGTAGAAACCAAGGGAAAAAATTTAAAAACATAGGTTTAAGACTTATTTGTAGATTAAACACCTTCACTTTTCTGCATTTTAATAAATGTCAGGCAAATTGAAGTAGTTTCTGTCCCAGTAGCTGCCGGAGTAAATCCAGTCCTGTGCTCCATTGTAGGGATTAGGACCTTGGTGGAACCACCTGTTTAAAGAGAAAGGACAAGATTTACAAAATCACAGGGCATCTGCTTGTTCACTAGCGTGTGGTATTATTTCCCTATTGCAGCAATGTACTTCATTCTGTGAGTTAATGATTTCCAAAGACACTGAAGAAGTGATGCTGTTTTTCCTCTTTAGGGCACACATCTGTAGAATAATACTCCAAAAGGGGTAATGGTACCACGCAAAAGGGTTGTGGATCTCCCACAGCATCTGGCAATACTAGGTAGAAGAAGGGTCTTCTAATAGGGCTGTCAGAAACAATGTCTAACCAGTTCACCTTCTAACCCCACTCTTTATCTTCCACTAGAAGATAGTTCTAGTTGATTCTAGAGCATTCTTTTGCTTTAAGCAGCTAGGAATAAGGAAACTAACTTTTAGAACATGTAAAGTGCCTGGTTTAGAGTAAATACCACCCAGACTCTTAAAGCTCCATTTTATAGATGAGAAACTCAATGTTGGAGCAACTAAAGACTTGCCCAAGGTAGTAACTGATAAACTTATGTTTAATTTTAAAGACCATGATTTTCCTACACATAATCTACTGAAAGTAGTCTAAATCTTTCTGGGTTTCCAGTTCCTCAATGCTAATATGGATTCTTTGGTTACATTTAGCTTCTAACAGCTTAACCTATCCTATTCTAATGCTAGAAAGAGCAGCCCCAATCATTTTCTTGCACTTTGAAAAACATGTCATTCATTTCCCACAGTACCAGATTTTCTTTAGGTAATGATGGAGATGCAAAATTACTTGCTCAAAAGGTTCACAATTAAATCTGTGTAACACTTTCTAGATATGATTTAGTTTTCAGAGTAACATTTATGAAAATAGTTTTCTATATTTCCAAATAAACTGTTTCTAAAAATATTTAGCTATTATAGGTAACAAAAACAGACAAATGGGACTATATTAAACTAAAACACTCTGCACAACAAAGTAAACAACAGTGAGGAGACAACCTGTGGAGTGGGAGAAAACATTTGCTAACTATCCATCTGACAAGGAACTAATATCCAGAATATACAAGGAACTCAAACTCAACAGCAAAAAAACCCCAAATTATCCCATTAAAAGGTGGGCAAAGGACATGAATAGACATTTCTCAAAAGACGACATACAAATGGCCAACAGGTATATTAAAAAAAAATGCTCAATATCATTAATCATCAGAGAAATGCAAATAAAAA